TGTGTGTGTGTGTGTGTGTGTGTGTGTGTGTGTGTGTGTGTGTGTGTAGGTCATAGGGCAACTTGAAGGTATCGGTTCTCTCCTTCCACTCCAGAGATTGAACCTGGGCCATCCGGCAGCAAGTGCCTTTTCTTCCTGAGCCCTTTCATCAGCCCATTGTTTTCTGTTAAAAATATTTATGTAGCTCCTTTTCAAGTGTGTTCATGGACGTCGTTCTCTTTCTGTGTTCACCCCCTTCCCCCTGGCTCTAATGAAGTCTAACTTCTATGTCTTTCTTCTCCATTGTGTAGTTGGATGGGGTTGGGCAAGGGTGCATTGTGTGATTGCTCCCTCTGCTGAGCAGACAACCGTGGCTTTTACTCTTGCCCCTTGTAATCAGCCACCCTCTCCTACCACTGCTACCACACACACACACACACACACACACACACACACACACACACACACACACACACACACCAGTTCAATTGCGCTGGTGTTTTTAAAAAGATTTCTTCTTAATGATGCGTATGTGTGGGGGGGTAGGTGTGTGCCCATTGGTACAGTGCCTTTGGGGGCTAGAAGAAGGCACATGACCCCTGGGGCTGGACTTAGAAGTGGTTGTGAGCCTCCCGATGTGGGTGCTGGGAACCAGACCTGAGCCCTCTGAAAGAGCGGCCAGCACTCTTAACAGCCGAGCCATCTCTCCAGAATTAAAAAAAAAATTAAACATGGAGTTTTTAAAAATTAATTTCTGGATGTGGTGGTGTATGCCTTTAATCCCAGCATTTGGGAGGCAGAGGCAGATAGATTTCTGTGAGTTCCAGGCCAGCCTGGGCTATACAGTGAGACTCTTGTCTCAAAAAGAAAAAAAATATAATTCCAACTATTTGTGGCTAATAATTAGAAATCCAAGTGATTTTAAATTATTATTATTTTATTTTACGCTGATGGGCATTTGGCCTCCATGTATGTCTGTGTACCACATGTGTACCTGATGCCCATGGAGACCAGAAGAAGTTCCAGATGCCCTGGAACTGGAGCTACATATGATTGTGAGCCCCCATGTAGGTACTGGGAATTGAACCCAGGCCTCTGTCAGAGCAGTCAGTGCTCTTAACCACTGAGCTGTTGTTCACCCACACAAATACAAGTAAGAATGTTCATTAAATCTGAACAGTGTGTTTTTAATGAGTCTACTGACTTATTGGTCTAGAGTTTTGTTGTAGACGCCTGATGTTATCTTAGTCTGACCGTCACAAGTCCTGACCATCTCTCCGTCTCTCCCACCATCCCAGTCCCTGTGCGTCTTATCTCTCTCCTGCCTCATTGCACTGGCTGAGGCATGTTTCCTCTCTGTCGTCCTTCTCCCTGACTCCTAATCCTGTGCACATCAGGGCAGCCACAGGCTTTCCGTAGATGTCCTCGTTGATTTATAAGGAATTTCTTTTCTATTCTTACTGAGTGTGTTGAGTTTTGTTAAGTTCTGTTCTGTGTAGAGTATGGCCACTGCGTGGCTTTTCTGCATCAGTCTTTTAGAACAACACAATTTGACATGAAAATATGTAATATTGACGACTTACACAATGTCCTCTAAGGGAGCTGAACAATAGAATGAAACCGGTATCTGTTAAAATGGATTATTAGATTGGCTTGCATCATGTGGTCTGGGTAATCCAGCAATGGCTGTCTTACACCAGAGAGGCCAAGAACTTGATAGCCACTTAGTTCATGAGGCTGGGTCTCTCAGCAGTCCACACTGGAGCTGCGGGCCTGGAGCATTCCTGGAGAGCTTTTATCCTACACAGAGCTTTGGATGGCTGATGCCGTTGTGTCTGTCTGGAGCAGGAGCCAGGACGTCAGTTCCAGGGCTGGCCTGAAGTGTCCCTCAGAGTGACAGTGGATGAGTTCGAACAGCTGGCTCTTCTGGAAGCAGTCCAGATGTTTTCCAAGGGTCTGGTTACCCAGAGCTCCCACTGGGGGCAGCCAGGCACAGGCAGAGATCTGACAACAGCCATTCAGGTGACTGATGGCTTGTCCCCCACAGTTCAGATTGTTCGAAGAGCACAAAACGGATCACATCAAGGGGTGTGTGTGTGTGTGTGTGTGTGTGTGTGTGTGTGTGTGTATGTATGTGGGTGTGGGTATGTGCACGCGCACACGCATGCACATAGATCATAGGTTCAATGTGCAATTAACATTCTCAGAAGTTCTTAACTTTAAACAGAGGCTCTTAGTGAGGCCTGGGTCTCCCTGTCTCAAGCCAACCAGTAGCCCTCCCCCGACATCCCTACCCTTTATGACCAGCCAGCCCGCTCTCGCTTGGAATATTTATGGTGGAGACAGGCACCAGTTGTCCAGTGTCTGTCGGTGGTGATGGCATTTCTGCAGTGGACTGTTGCTGCACCAGAGGCCCAGCCTGCTGCCACAGGTGGCACAAGTCAGTGAGTGGGAGGCAGGGCTGGCAGAGAACTGATTTGCATACAGTGATGTAGCAGATGGGAACACAACACAGGCATTCTTGGCCTCAAGATGCCTCATGGCAGATTTAGATGTAGTTCGTGCAGAACATGGTGACCACAGACGGGTGGGCACTTCATCACAAGTGAAGGTTTGGGGTCATAATGCCACACCTGACCTTAATCCCCTGGCTGGAGATGCTGCCCAGGTCTGCAAACCTCTGGGACAAAGACAATAATCACTCCTTCAGGTTGTTCTTGTCCCACAGTGGACAGCTGTGAGGGGTGACAGTCCTCGGGGTATTTTTGCAGACAGTAATGAAAAGAAAACACCCAGAGGCGAGTGAAATTAATCAAGGCCAGAGCGAGGCCTGGTCACCTGGCTCAGCTTTAGAACCATGGCAGGCACCTTTCGTTCTACCCCGTGTGCTGAGGGCAGGCTCACAGCAGGCCAAAAGCCCCTCTGCTCTTTGTACTTTAAAATAGCATCGATGTAAGCCAGTGGTTCTCAACCTGCGGGTCTCAGCCCCTTTGGGGCTTGACAACCCTTTTACAGGGGTCACCTAAGACCACCAGAAAATACAGATATTTACATTATGATTCACAACAGTGGCAAAATTATAGTTATGAAGTAGCAATGAAAATAATTTTATGGTTGGGGGTCCCCACAATGTGAGGAACTGTATTAAAGGGTCACAGCATTAGGAAGGTTAGAACCACTGCTGTAAGTGAAGAATTCGAGTTTTTCAGTGCAGATTTGTAAAGCAGAGCAGCCTGCCTTGTGCTGGCTTTGGCATCTCAGCTGTGATGTTTCTGTGTGGGCTCTTTGTCCTCCTGCGATGGAGGGATGTGTGATATTAGTGTTTGACCCACATAGGAAGCTGAGGTTACGCGTGATCGGACACTTGAGCGCTACCCACCCTGCACCGCATCTGTTACCTTCATCCCTAAGAGCCTCCTTGTCCATCGCTGCTGTGGGTTCACAGGTGACAGTTAGTACAGGAAGCCACTTGTCCAAGGTCTCCATGCTAGCAAGGGAAGGGGCAGAGATTTGTACTTGATCTCACTCCAGGGTCTTCCCACTGGCATCTTCAACTCCATGATTTGGGGGCCCTGACTCACAGGACCACGTCAGTTTAGAAACGCACTTTGGACCAGTTTTTCAGTTGTTTATTCTTACTAAAGCTTTAATTATGCTGTCGTACTGGTGAGACTTTATGGGCATAGCTCCTGACATTACCCAGAGACATCCTCACAGCAAACTCCCCAGTTCTCTGTCTCCTACAGTCTTCCCTCCCTCTCTTCCGTAATGTTCCCAGCGCCTCGGGTGCAGGCGTTGACTGCCTAAACATGAGCTGAACCAGGACAACGATAGACATGCCGAAGTGGACAGGGGAAAGACCATGAGGCCTCAACCTTACACAAAGAATTACAGATAGCTAAAGAATGCTGAGAGCGGGAGAAACAGTCTTCCCCAGGGAGGAGCACACCAATTGGCTATCCACTACCGAATCGTCAGCCCCAAAAACATACATTCAAGTAACATTGTACAGGTTATATCTAGGAATGTGTATGTGTATACATACATGTATATGCATGTAACAACTATTAATGAAAAAAAAAAAAAGAGGCCATGAACTTGAAAGAGCAAGAAAGGGTAAATGGGAGAGTTCGGAGAGAGAAGCGAGGAGGAAATTATGTACTATTAATCTCAAAAATAAATAATTTAAAAAAATTGTGTACCGGTTTATGTTGCTGCCATGGCAAAGGCCTTAAGTCCGGTGCCTCTAGTGCCATAAACACCATCCTAATGTATGGCAGGAGACGCCCAATGCAGGCTACGGTGTAGGTATGAGCAGGACCCTTGGAAGCCCAGGTTTTCCAGCTCCTGCGGTCCCATGCATGTGTTGGCTCATAGCTTCTTAGCCACAGTGCCCCACTATTGCATGTCAGTGGCTTTCTCCACTATAAGGAAAGGTTCATGTGCTGGTGTTAGGCCGACCACACAGTCAAGGGTACCCTTCCATCTCAAGGTCTCTACTTGTTATCATTACTGCTATTTATTTTGCAGGCCTGGGGATTAAATCCAGGGCCCTGCAAATGCTAATTAAATACCTTACCGCCGAGTTATCCCCCAGCCTGCAAAGTCTACCCTGACCACTGAACCGTCCTCTCTGTATATGTACAGTAAACAATGACAGGCCCCAACGCTAAGGTCACTGGACCTTTAAAAGCTATCATCCTGCCGACCAAGGTCACTGAATGCTTCAAGTAATGAGTTTGAAAAGATCATTTTGTGAACATCAGAATTTTAACTGAATCCCTTTGTTTCTTCCTTCAGAACTTGCCACCACTGACGGAATGTGGCGACACAGGGTGTTAAGATCCTCTGATTTCCCCTTGTTTTTAAAGAATCAATCTGTGGTGCTTTTCTACAGAACGATTTTGTTTGCCTTAGATTTGGAACTTCATATAAATTCATAGTAGCTGGTTTTCAACTCAGTATTAAGTATCTAATCCATGTGGTATTATAGGAAAAACTGTTGTTTTTGTTTCATGCAGATTTGGACTTAAAACCACCACGAAAGTCAATTGGAAGCAGTTTTTAACGACGTTTTATGAGCGGCAGGGGTTGGACGTCATTAAGGCAGCTCCCCTGAAGAAGAGAAGCAGGTATGTTTAAAACCAGTTTCCAAACTGCACTGTGCATTGGGTCAGAGATGATGCAAACTCTTTTTTTTTGTTTTTTCATTTATTCAATGACCAACTGTCTCCATTGACTAATTGTAAACTTTCACCTAGCGTTTTAGAGTTCAGAAATAATTTTGCATTCACTTTTCATGCTTAAAGTATCCTTAAACAGTGGGGGTGGCCTTCTTGTTCCAGTTTCTAGAGAAAAAGGAGCCTGGGTAAGACCGGTGGGGCCACACACCCAGAGCTCGAAGGCTCCCCCAGCACACACAGCACCTGCTCACAGGGGTCCCTCCACTCCAAGTGTGTCCCCGGGAGACGGTGTACAAGCACACACCTGCTGTGTGTTTTATGGAGAGGGAGATAACCTGCTTTCTTACTGCTCTTCTTGCCTTAGGAACCAGTGTTTGTTTCCTGCTAAATGTCTGTTGTAACTTCTCCTTCCTCCTCCTCCTCCTCCTCCTCCTCTTCTTCTTCTTCTTCTTCTTCTTTTTGGTTTTTCGAGACAGGGTTTCTCTGTGTAGCTTTGGAGGCTGTCCTGGATCTTGCTCTGTAGACCAGGCTGGCCTCGAACTCACAGAGATCCTCCTGCCTCTGCCTTTCCAATGCTGGGATTAAAGGCGTGCACCACCACTGCCTGGCCCTGTTATACCTTCTAACTGGAAGTTGTAGAGGCACCTCAGAAGTATAAAACAAATCAAAGACTAAGATGAAGCTTGAAAATTTAGACTTTATCTCCCAGGAGTCACTTCTGTGTGAACTTTATTGATTAGCCATGAAGAAAATAGACAAAGTGGCTTTTTTGTTTTTCTTGTTTTGTTTTTTAACAAATATGTAATTTCATCAGGTGCATTGAGAGTGATCAGCCCTATTGCAAAGCAAAATGTACCACAGAGTTAGTTCTCACTCTGCTTCCTTGGGGCCTGTTCCCCCTGAGGACTCAGGGATATTTAATGACCTCCCTGGCTTTCAGCTTTCCAGGTGTTCAGAGTAATCCTGATCTGCTGTGAGGAGGCAGCTGTGAGAATGTGTCTTAAGCAGTTACTTCCATTTTCTTACCATCTTCTTGTCTGGTAGCACCCTGTCTAGGGCTATCCAGGATAAAATTAAAGTTTTATTTATTTGTGGCATTTTTTAAAAAAATTAGAGACAAGGTCTCACTGTGTGACCTAGGCTGACCTTGAACTTATCATCTTCCTGTGTAGGATGACAGATGTGTGCCACCATGTCCAGCTGCTGGCTTTCACTAGCTTTAAAACAGCAGTCCTCCAATGGGGGGGGCAGTATACCTCCTAGGAGGCTCTTGGAAATATCACAGGACATTTTTAATTGACATGGTGGAGGCGATGATGTCTAGTGAAGTCTACAGTAGGGAGGCCAGAGGTGCAAGAGGTCTTCCCACAATGGAGAAGAACCTGCCACCATGCCTGATATCTGTAACAATAGGTCAGTGGGGATTGCTTGCCCGGTATCTGCTTGCACCAGTACAGTCTAACTTTCACAACACTCTCTTCCAGTTAGTCATGTGAGCCATGAGGCACAGAGCTAGAGTACATTTTTGCAAAGGAGTAGTCAGTGTGTTGTTGCAGAGCTGTATAGACAGTGTATCAAATCCCCAACACGTGTGAGAAGGGTCCCATACACAAACCATCCACTATCATGCCCCACCTTGTGGGAATAGAAGATATCTATTGAGCAGCGAGGAAAGGAAGGCCCATAACTGAATTTTATTACAAGGTATCTAATTTTTCAATTGCTGTAACAAAACACCATGACCAAGGTAATGTATAAAAAAGAGCATTTATTTGGGCCTCATGGTTGCAGAGGGTTAGAGTCCATGACCATCGTGGTGGGGAGCATGGCAGTAGGCAGGCAGGCAGGCAGGCATGGTGCTGGAGCAGTAGCTGAGAGCTCACATCCTTAGCCACAAGTAGGAGGAAGAGAGAGAGCTAACAGGGAATGGCATGGGCTTTTCGAAACATCAAGGCTCACCTACAGGGACGCACCTCCTCCAACTAGGCCACACCTCCTATTCCTTCCCAAACAGTTCAACCAACTAGGGACCAAACATTTGAATATATGAGCCTATGGAGATCATTTTTATTCAGAGCACTATACAGGGGCCTCACTTTCTGATGAGAATTTACAAGGAAGCTTTAGCTTTCAAAGTGGATAGCCATGGCCTCCAAGAACACTCATGTGGTTGATGGAGCTTCAGGGTAAAAGTTGAGGTGAGAAAGGACAAAAAGTCCTGAGCGTGCAAGTGGCCATGACATAGTCACTGGAGGGCAGAGGCCGGGACTCTGAATGTCCTCAGATGTGAGTATGAACATTTGATGTGTTGCAGCTTACTGCCTGCCCTAGGGTCCTGGTGGTCAGCCATCTCTGGTTTCCTTCCTGGCCTTTTTGTGAGATCAAATTCATAGGTTTGAAAGATGTCTGACTAGGGTTGCTCGGGATTGGGGGCAGTTGGGAGCAGGATAGCACAGCTAATAATGGATGGCTGTGCACGTCTCCTCCAGGACAGTTCTCTGTCTTCCCGCACCTAGTGGCAAATAGGCCTGCCCCTGTATACTACCCTTTTCGAAGAAAGAGCCCCTGCAAAGCCAGTACTGTGAGAGTTGTAGGGCGCTTGCTTTTTACACCAAGAACAAGTCCAATATCCTTCCCGGTTTTCTCCTGCTCCTCTTCCTAGCACTGACTCTAGAAACCAGTCTCGCAAGGAAAATATCGTCAAGAAGTTATTCAAGTACTCGGAGGAGCGCTACACAGCCCTGAAGAAGGCCTTGTTGATTATCAACACGGTGAGAGCCTGAACCCTTCTCTGGAAAGAACCACAGGAGTTAGGAAAGTTCACACTCAGTGTAGCCAATGAGTGGAAAGATGGTTGGGAGGGCTACATCTTATCCATCAGGACAGGGTAACCAAAAGGACCAAGTTGACAAGCATGTAAAGACATTGAGTTCTCATATGCTACTGATGGGAGTGAAAACTAGTGCAGCTGTTGTGAAGAATAGTGTAATGGGTTTCTTAAAGATCAAATAATAGATCATGTGACCCAGTGATTCCATACCTAGGTATCAGCCAAGAGAAACGGGAACACATCTTCCCAAAGATGCATGTATAAATTTTTTTTTTTTTTTTTTTTTTGGTTTTTTTCGAGACAGGGTTTCTCTGCGTAGCTTTGCGCCTTTCCTGGAGCTCACTTGGTAGTCCAGGCTGGCCTCGAACTCACAGAGATCCGCCTGCCTCTGCCTCCCAAGTGCTGGGATTAAAGGCGTGCGCCACCACGCCCGGCAATGTATAAATGTTTCAAGCGACACTATTTGTCATGTTCCACCTGAAGATAACCCAGACACAGATACGTAGTATGTGACATGTTCATATACTACCAATTAGGAATGAAAAGGAGGGGAATACTGTGAGGGAGAGGGAACACAGATGTTCAGGAGGCGGGTTTGGAGGGGATGCAAATGTTCCAGTGTCCATGATGGTGGCCACGCAATGCTGGGCGTGCATCAGAAGTAAGGAAGTTGTCAGTGACTCCTATTTGGATGTTTAAACACTGTCATTCAAAACCAAACCATAAACAAGCATAGTTAGTTCAATGTACCTCAGAGAACCTAACTTCCGGAGTTGGTAGATGTGAGTGTGAACACTTGCTGTAAAAGCATAAGGACCTTAGTTTAAATCCCCAGCACTGGGGGAAAAACGAGCCAGCCATGGCCATGTACCACGCACTCAGTGTCATTGAGAAGAGGGCAGATGTGTGGCTAGGGCTCTCCAGCAGCTAGCCTTGCTCCAGGTTCAGAGAGAGACCCTGTCTCCATAAAGTAGCATGACATCAGAACACCTGTTAACCCTTTCTGGCCTTCACATGTAACATGGGACATCTGCACTCGTGTGTGTGTGTGTGTGTGTGTGTGTGTGTGTGTGTGTGTGTGTGCATACACCACACATGCACATAGAAAATAATAACAAAAAATAAGAATTTCAAGGGCTCAGCGTTTAGGAGCATTTGCTGCTCTTTCAGAGGACTGGGGTTCAGTTCCCAGCACCCGACTTCCTGTGACTCCTCTTCCAGGACATCTGACACCCTCTTCTGGCCTCCAAGGGCACCAGGCACACACAGGTGCACACACACACTCATATGCAGGTACTCACACATACACCATATAAAAATGAATTCAACACGTAAGATCTCTGCTCTCTTCTCAGCTTCTAGGCCCATGTTTATCCCACACTGTGCCAGTCAGTGGCAGCTGCTGATTGACACTCAGAATGTCCCTCTCCAAGGTGGAGGCTCTGTATTCCCACCTTCCCAGAAAACAGAGGCTCTTAATTTTCATATTTAGTTAACTTACCCACAGTTCAGTTCCACGGGGACATGCTTGCCTCAGGAGGCTTTGCTTCTAGTATTTTCTATAAGCAACATGGCAGAGATCTCTCCCTCATCAACTGTCCCTCTGTGTAACCCATAAGGTTGGAGATACTGGAAACACCTCTGATTGATGTTCTGAGTAAATTGACAAGCCCAGCGGAATTCTGCTGGGGAATTCTGAGCCAATGGGCGGGGCTGGGAGGATGAGGGCTCTTCATGCTGTGGGGACGCTAGGGAGGGGGTTGGTCTGTGCTTCCCCAAAGGACTTCATTCCTCCAGGCCATCTCCTGCTTGTTGCCTGGTAGAACTATTCTAGAAAGGGCCTGAGAACATCTCAGAGGCTCACACCTCTGCTCTGGTCACACGTGGTGTGTGTAGCGGCCGTTGACTGCTGTTTTAGGTCGTGACTCAGCTTGGCCAAAGCCAATGCTTTACTATTACTGAGTATGTCCATGGTATTTCCTGCCTCTGAAAGTGTTGTTTGTAATTCCTAATCTTATCTACACTTTCCTACTCAGACGCCCAACGGACACATAAGTTGGGAAGAACTGCGACACATTCTGAACTGCGTGGTCGCAAAGTTAAGTGACTCAGAGTTCAATGAACTCAAGCAGACGTTTGACCCCGAGTGCACCGGGTCCCTGAAGGTCAGCTGCCTACTGGATGCGTTGGATGACAGTCCTAAGGTATGTCTGTGACCATCTCTCAGTTGGATGACTCCCGAAGCCAGGAAGTGAGTGTTCTTAGCAAAATCCAGTTTAAGTGAATTAATGACTTCACATTTTCACATATTTTCATTTCAAGTTACAGTTAAGAGGTTGCTTGGTTGAAGTTTTTGTTTTCTAAAGCATGTTGAGGATGTCATCTGGCGTTTCTGAAAAACCTGCCCTCAAGTGACAGGTGCCAGGTCTTGCAAAGGAGTATTTGGGAGTCACATGTGGTCCCAGCACTTGACAGTCTGAGGCAGGAGAAATGCTGTGAGTTCGGGGCTGCCCTGGGCTAAAGGGAGTACCAGGCTAGCCAGGGCTACATAATGAAATGATACCCTGTCTCAAAAAAACAAAAAACAAAAAACAAAAAACAAAACAAAACAAAAAAACAAAACAAAAAAAAACCAAAAAAAAAAAAAAAAACAACTATAACATGTTTGAGAAGAGGTCCCATACCCTGATCTGACATGTTTTAGGGGTCACCACCCATCTCCCCTGGTGTCTCCTAGTAGCTTTTAGTCATTGCTGCTTTTGACTGAAAAAATAAGCAGTTTTATTAAAAGTAGCTCTGCAGCAGCCATTAGCTTTGGCAGTCTTTAAGAACATTTAAAAAGTCCGATTGGTTGCATGCATGGCCTCGTTATCAGAATGGTGGGCTATTTGCCTTCACCATGGAGGCAAAATGCTATGCTGAACGTAGACCCTCACATACCCAAGTGTGAAATACTAAGTCAAAATGTATAGGTATGTATGTCCATGCCTTTACACACACACACACACACACACACACACACACACACACACACACACCACTTCTTTTTAAGAATAAAGATGGTGGGAAATGATGGAGGGGTTTATGGTCCCACAAGTAAGACATTGGCTTATGCCCATACCTGGCCATATGAGTCAGGAGGGATCGGACCTGTGTGCCCACGCAGTACCTCAAGGTATGCCTTGACTCAGTTTGCCACCGGTGCTGGAGAGCAAGATCAAATGAGTTCTCAGGGCGTGGAGGTCATCTGGGGTGGGAGCTTGAGCCGGTGTTCAGTGTGTGGCCACCATCTCCATGAGCTGAGTCCAGGGCCAGAGAGTGTATCTCTTGAAGACACATGTCTTTTGCAACAAGATTGGTGACAGCAGCAGCCCGTGGTGTTGCTGTGGAAACCCAGCAAGATAAAGTATACACACAAAAACGTTCCCAATCTAAACATCCCGTCTCAGTCATTTTGATGATTGCCTGCCTGTCTCTTGCGCAAGCACTGAGCCACTGGTCCATCTTAACCTTGCTTGCAGAGAGAGTGGTAGCGTTTTCAGTGCCTTTCCTGTGTAGGATAGGACAGACCCTGGCTTAGCACAGGTCGACAGCGCTCAGGGCTTCTTACCCTTGGGCAGTACAGTGGCTGTGCACATTTTCAAGCCAAACCAAACGGAGACTATAAGCAGCCTCTCCGTGCAGCAAAGGACATGGCCTCTGCTAGATGTAACCTGAGCTTGGCTCGTGCACACACACACACTCAAACCTGTTATGTGTATGTGTGCACACACTCAAACATATCATATACATGTGCACACACTTAAACCTTCCGTATATGTGTGCGCGCACACAAGCCTGTCATACGTATGTACAATACACTCAGACCTCTCATATGTGTAAGCATATACACTTCCAACCCTATGATTTGTATGCAGACACACACACACTTTATCAAAAGCAGTCATATTGGAGTATAAATTACGCTTTTTAAATCATACACATCTACCATATGCATTTTGATGGGTTTGGATATATGTTTTTATATATTGCACCCGACTTTGTCTATAAATAAGTTCACATTAATGTGTTTCAGTCTCTCATCTTTAATAACGCCATTACTAGCATTTAACACAGTGAGGTTTGCCACCTAATTTTAAAGGATGCTTCATGTTCTCCTTTGTTATCATCTTGGTATCCAGTTTGTTTTCCCTTTCAGTAATTCTGCTCCAACCTGGACCAGTCAGGCAGAGCCAGCTTTCAAATCCAAGCCTGTAGCTTCCTGTTGCCCCTCGGGAAGAACTGTTAATGATAAAGTTTCTCTTGTTCACTTAGGTGAGAAAAATGTCCCCCTCTACAGACACCAAGGCACCTGTGCCTGTGGCTTGGGATTCAGTAAGTACCATTAGCCTTCTGTTTATGGCCTCCTTCCCCATGTGCTCTGAGGGTGCCTGCATACCTGCTTCCAATGCGGTAAATGTATTTCTTCTCCTGGGTTAGGTAGAAGAAATGCTGCGTGATGCCATCACCAGGAACCTCCAGACCTTTTACGGCATGCTGCTGTCATATGACCTTGGGGACACAGGGACCATAGCAAGAAATAACTTCAAGAAAGTCATACGCGTGTTCTGCCCGTATCTATCGAATGAGCACTTTATAAAGTAAGTTCACAGGTCCTTCACTCCCTGCTTCTCCCCAGCCTGCTCCATGACACCTGTGGATAATATCGGTAACAGACACTATCTGTTGAATCCTCACTGAGCAGCACACTGAGAGTTTACCATGTGTGATTCAGTTTCACCCCCATCATTAAAGAGGCTGGATGGAGAAGCTGTGAGGCCCCAGTGAGTTGGGGACACAGGTTTCATATGGGTCTCTGGGATCACTGGCTGTTCCTATTGCTTTTTATTTTTAAAAAAAGGTGTAAGTGTACATGTGTGTGTCTCTGTGTATATACATACGTGTGCGAGCACAGTACCTGTGAAGGTCACACATCCTCCTGGATACTTGAGGTTGGGCTTCCCAATTTTTAGCCTTGGGCTGGAGAGCTAGCTCAGAGGATAAGAGTACATACTGCTCTTACAGGGGACCCAAGTTCAGTTCCCAGCACCCACATCCGGCTGCTCACAGCTACATGTAACTCCAGCTCCAGGGGCTCCAATGCCTCTGGCCTCCCTGGGCACCTGCACTTGAATGTACTGACACATAACATCTGTGCAAAATATACAGCTATATACACAGAGACATACCCACCAACACATAGGCTTTTAAAAATTCTGAATTTTAGCCTTTTTTTTTTTAAATGGGAATGCTCTGATAATTTTTCAACTTCAGACTCTGCAGTAAGTTTCAAGACGCAGCCTCAGGAAGGATCCTGTACAAGAAACTTCTGTTGACCATCGGGGTCAATGTCCCACCAACCACCTCTCCACCTTCTGTTCCGAAGGATCAGCCCAACGAACAGTTGCAAAAAGAGGAGCACATCCCACCAGAGCTTCCCGAGAGGTAAAATAAGGGTGAAGGCAAGGCACTTGAGCACCAGGGGCCTTGCTGGAGGAGACACTTGCTGCTCTGCATCATCAGAGTTGTGATCAATTAAGAAAGGTCAGCGCACTGGCTGTGCGTGGTTAGAGCAGGTGGGGCCCCTGCCAGGAATAGCACCCACTTGCAGAATTTAGCAATGAAAGCAGATAGTCCCAGAGCCGGGGGGGGGGGGGGGGACACCTTGCCGAGGTTGCTCTAGTGTCGACAACCTCGGACTGTCGCCTCTCAGACAGCTTGACTGCTCTGCGTCTGCGTGCATCCACACCTCTGCTCTCACAGGAGTTAGTCTTCGCCACAGCTTACCGTTCACTGTAAAGCACACCCACAAACACAGCGAACGTCTTCTAATACGAGAGGATGGAGCTGTTAAAACGATAGCCGCAGTGAACGGTCTGAACTGTCAACCAAAACACACTTGGTGAGCTGCAAAAAAGACCAGACTGATGGATATTCTGGCTTTCGCTTCCTTTTGAAAAGTATCGGTTCAGTCTAAGGAGAAGGTGCCGTTTAACTGCTTGTTCATAGCATGTCAGGAGCCCGCAGGCATGGCGACACCCGGGAGGTACCATCTTGTCATTTCTCTTTTTCAAAGTTCTTCAGCATAGGATGATGGAGATTGTCATTTAAGAGAAAGCTTAAATGTCTGGCGACATGTCTCCCCAAAGCCAGGACAAGGGATAATGGCTGTTAAGCTGCTCATAAAGCAGGCTTTCCTAGAGGGAAGACTGGGACTCTGCTCTACATAGCTGTCTCATAGCTGTCCCGTTCTTTCTGGAGGGCCCAGGAGACTGTGGAGGGTGGGGAAAGAATGATCTTCCAACCGCACATCCTCTCGTAACACATTTTGTGAATTAAGTTGATTCTACAGAGCCACTCAGGATAGCCATGACTTCCCTGATCTACCACAGATGGCCCGTGACTTCCTTCGCCTGGTTACTACAAAGCTTTGTCTAACTCGAAGCTTCCCTGTAGGCCCTGACTTTGCTTCCCTGGTTCATTCGTGAAAGCATTCTGTTTTCAGTCTTACGTGCAGCCCATTGTGGCGGTGGAGTCATGGCCACAGGAATGTGAGGCAGGTGGTCACACTTGTATCCACAGTCTGGAAGCAGAGAAAGATGGATGCCGGCGTTGGCTTGCTTTCTCCTTTGTATGCAGTTCGGGCCCCCAGCCCAGAGCATGGTGCTGCCCACTTTTACTGTGGGTCTCCCCATCTCATTTAGCCTAGTCAGCATAATCCTCCCTGGCATGCCCCAAACAGTCCCTCCCAGGTGTCCCTGGTGGCTTGTCTCTAGGCGATTCCAGATCCTGTCTAGCTGACAACACTACCCATCACATGCGCCCAGCCTCATGCTATTTCCATCCAGCTCCAGGTTGAGAGTCTTAGTGTGAAGACAGTATCGCCCTTTCTCGCTGGCTGGTCGCCATGCCCCGGCAGCAGGACCCTCTGCGTGGATCCTGGGCCGCTGAACTGCAGGCCTGGCTCTGCAGCCGACCAGCACAGAAAGGAAGTCCCACCCTCTGGTGGGGGTTATAAACCCCCGGTGCTGTCGTGGGATACATGGGGAGCAGGTGTGGCATGTCATCTGATGGAGAGCTGAGTGCCTGCTTGTGATTTCAGAACCCAACCCACGAGGGACAAAATCATAGAGGCCAAGATGATGACCAAGGAAGAAGTCATCGACAGACTCAAGCTCTGTATCCAGCAGCAGGACCCGGTGTTCAAAAAGCAGTTTCTTAGCATCAGCAAGGAGCCCGATACAAAGATCGGCCTGGAGGGCTTCCGGAAGGTAGGAACCCATGCCCCGTGGGGCTTCCTTCCTGACTGGGTCCATGAGTCCTAGCCCGCTGGTATACATGTTTCATTCATTGTTACTGCCCATTTATTCTGCAGTGGGGAAGGGGGCTGGCAGGCAGTAAAAGAATTGACAGGCAGTGCCACCAAGAGACCAGTTTATCTAATATATCGTGAGGCAGGGGGCACAGGCTGGGCAGTCACGAGAGCGCCAGCCTGCAGCCCGGAGCTGGCCGCAGTGCACAGACTCAAGGCCACTCCATCTCCGGTGCCACTCAGTGACTTGAGAGGATTCCCAGGGCCCCAAATCATCAGCTTCGGCAAATTCCTTCCAAGAATAGGTCCAGTATGGATAGGGCTTGGTTTGGGTGTTTAACCCTTTCTTGCTGTACTGTTGGGCTAGCCATGGATACCTGGCTCTGTGCACTGGGGGGACCTTGGAGGTGGGAGTGCCGAGCTGTCTGGGCCCCTTCACGTCAGCGAAGGATCCTCATGATGTCAGGTAACAGATCTGGGATTTGTTCCTCTAAGGGGAAAAACACTGGCATTGAAATCTGGGAGAGGCAGGGTGCTTATGGAACCAGCAGGTTTGTGCCAGAAAAGCCTCAGCTTGAAGGGTCCTGCATGGGCTTTCGGAGTTAATTTACACTATTGCTTAAGATTCCTGCAGTGAGTCTCCAGCCAGCAACACTGTGGCTGTTCCTCTGGAAGGCATCTCAGTTACTATGCTGCAGTGGCCATGTGGACAGGCCAGAAAGCAGTGGAATCAGTTTCCAAGAAGATGATACTCACTTGAGTGCCCGCTGTTTACCTGATGTCTGCCTCCAGGCCAGACATCGTAAGCAGAGGCCCAGATTATGAGGTTTTTTTTTCTACTGTCTTCACCCTATGTTCCCATTTAGAGCAGTTTCAGTTAAAGGCTTTGAACATGATTCTGTTGTCTTAGTTAGGGTTTCTGTTGCTGTGATGAAACACCATGACCAAAGCAACTTGGGGAGGAAAGGGTTTATTTGGCTTACACTTCAGCATCACTGTTCATCATCAGAGGAAGTCAGGGCAGGAACTCAATCAGGGCAGGAACCTGGAGACAGGAGCTGATGCAGAGGCCATGGAGGGGTGCTGCTTATTGACTTGCTTCCCATGGCTTGCTCAGGCTGCTTTCTTATAGAACAAGGACCAGCAGACCAGGGATGGCCCCGCCCACCATGGGCTGGGCCCTCCCCCACCAATCACTAATTAAGAAAATGCCATACAGTTGGATCTTATGGAAGCACTTTTTTCATGTGAGGTCCCCCCTTTCAGATGACTCTAGCTTGTGTGAAGCTATCCTGCCCAGCTGTAGTCTATCACTGTCAGCACAGAAGGGACTCTCAATGTACTCTGGGTGCCTAGCCGGATTCAGCACTTAGTAAAGATTCTCCTCACTGGGGCTCAGGAAATGCCCCGGGGAACAGCTGAGCCTCCATGGTGGAGGGTGGGTGAAGGAGGGTGCATAGGCTTAGCTCAGGGATTGGACTCCCTGTTCCCAAAAGCTGCCTGATGTCCAGGCTGCCGTAATGGGGTCACCAGCTTTGTTTGGGGTCCTTGACACCTCATTTTGTCAACAGAAGCCACACAAGACGCTCAGAAGTCTGTACTTATTTCTCTGTGTTCCAGCTCCAGCCTTGGCCAGGGAACAGCTGGATTCTCAGGGCAGGTAGCCACACCCCAACTGGTACAGCAGCAGGCACACTGACCACTGACCCTTATTTAGGACTACTCGGCAGGAAGCTCAGTTTTCTGAGGATGTCAGCTGGGCTCCATGAGTTTCCAGAAGTTCTATGCCTTTACCAAGGTCCTGACTGCCCATGCCACAGACGCTGAGAGAAGTGTGCCGTCTGTTGGGTATCTGTGGGTTTGTTTGTTGCAAGGTTCTTTTATGCTCTGTTGATGTTGTGTGATTCACCCTGAGGCTGTTACTGAGATAGATTTCAAAACACTGAGGTCCCTGCGTGTCTGTGTGACTCTGGATACAGAGTGATGCTGCACAGCCTCAGGGCCATTTTCCTTCTGGTTTCTTTTGCTGACTAGTAATCTGGTACTGGATTTTCTCACCTTCGGCTTTCAAACTCACCGGGCACTTACAAGCAAGCCCCTTGTGGGCACGTTTAATTCACTTTTCATAAAATGTAGTTGAGCACCGGGCAGTGGTGGCGCATGCCTTTAATCCCAGCACTCGGGAGGCAGAGGCAGGTGGATCTCTATGAGTTCGAGGCCAGCCTGGGCTACAGAGTGAGTTCCAGGAAAGGCCAAAGCTACACAAAGAAACCCTGTCTCAAAAAACCAAACAAAAAAAAATGTAGTTGAGCATCTTAGTTTTTTCACTACCCTGGACATCTCCTGGTTTCTTTTCTGCCTCTTCTTGCCATTAGGTTATTCGACTACTTCTATTGTCCCATGTTCCCCTGTAACCCTTTCCGAGCGGATGAAGTTTCTTTCCTCTTGTAAAGGCTGCACTGGAGAAGGCAGCCCACTGCTTGCACCTCCACAGCGGTGCAGGGCGCTTCAGTCCTGTGAACAAAGCTCCTGAAGGAAGCCGTGTCTGCAGAGACTGGCTAACTGATTAGAACCCCAGCACCAAGGAGAGACTGGAATGTTGCAGGTCCGGAGGAGGCTAATAACCTGATCTTGGGCTCATTCTAGCCCCCTGGCACAGCCCACCTCTGTGTGGAACTGACATCTTGTGACAGATTAAACCTCGTGGAGTCAATTCACTAAGCAGGGGACTAGCTTCTACCAACCCCAAAGCTAAGAGTCATGAGTAGCAGCATCTTGAGCAAATAGAATGGCTCCCCACCCCCACCTCACTGCACCCAGCTCTCTGGTGTACCCACCAAAGTATTTTAAAGTTGCCCTGATTTATGACTTTCTTTGTTCAGTAAAATTGTCAAACACTTGATGGAACTGCCTCCCTGTAGGAATGTGGAATTGGGGGTGACCTGAATTGGCGTTCCCAGGTCATGGTCACTCAGAATGGCTCCAGAATGAACTGTCTCTTATTCCTTTAAGGGAAGAGCTGTGGGGTTTGTGTCAAAACACTTGATCATCTCTTTTGTGGCACCATTTGCCACACGCTTCAATTTTACATATAATCTAGACTCCCACAAGACATCTTTTGTGCTGTAATTAACCTGACCAAGCAACCTATCCAGTCTGTCTGTCTGTCTGTCAGTCTGTCACTATGTCTTCCTCCTCTCCCTCCTCCTTCTCCTCCTCTTTCTTGAAATTGGGCTCATTTTTCCATCCTGCCTAAAGCTTTCCCTTTGTAGATCACTTAGTAAGAGTATGCTGATTGCTCATCCTGAGTTTCTGATGTTTTAGAGTTCCTTCATCAGACTGCATTCAGGGCACCATGTTAAACCTAGTCACCTACCACCCAAGGCTCCTCTGAGCTGTGATAATTTTCCAGACTTGCCTTGCATTATTATTATTATTATTATCATTATCATTATTATATTATCATTTCCATTGTTTTTTGAGGACCATGGCTAATTTTTGAGAATTCCTGACCAGGATTAATTTCAATTAAATAATTCTCTCTCTCTCTCTCTCTCTCTCTCTCTCTCTCTCTCTCTCTCTCTCTCTCTCTCGGGTTTCTCTGTGTAGCTTTGCGCCTTTCCTGTGGGCTTAAGAAACTCAGAAGATCCAAAGTAGGATAAGCACAAAATCAGAAACCCCAGATCAGAGAGCAGTGCTAGCCATGCTCCACGTGGCCATGCGGCTGTCAGCAGGAATGACGGAGCTGGAGGACAGTGGGACACACTAGAGGGGAGACTGGGCACAAAGTCAGAGCCCCGCCAGCTTGGAGCTTCGTGTCCAGCCTCCATTTAAGAATGGAGACAAATGGATGTCTTCAGCTTAAACAAGTAAAACAGAAGGGAGGCAAGCCTCAGGTAACTCACTGCAGGTCCATCTCGGCACCAGTCATGCTGCAGGAAGTTCCCAAACTCAAGGAACGGGATGCTGTGAAGATGCGGATGCTCCCCACGAGGAGTAGAGCATGAGAAGGGTCAGCAGGAGATGCCCAGTGGTTAAAGCACTTGCCATTTAGGCATGAGCACTGGAGTGCACATTCCCCAAATCCCACATAAATACTGTGTGAGCATGGCCGCCTGTAATGTCTGCCTTGGCAGAGGCAGGCAGATCTCTGTGAGTTCAAGTCCAGCCTCACATACTTGAGTTCCAGGATAGCCAGTGCTGTATAGAGACCCTGTCTC